GTATCAAACATGTCCCGACTGTGAACGATGGCAGGCCGTGTCATTTTGCAGAGTCCCCCATAAATGTGCAGACACTGAATGTAACATAGCTTGTGTCCACAGTGAGTTTTTGGGTGGATATAGTTTATATATCAGTTATATACTATGTATGTTTGTCTGATTTCAGACTCGTAAAGTGAGGAGTACTTTTTACACTTTAATAAAAAATACCTCTGAATTCCCAGTATCATTTATTAAACCTCACTCCGCAGTTTTCCTCTTTGCACATCATTTCAAGCCTGCTGCTGGTTTTGCTTTCCTTTTCTCCTTTTCTTCCTCTTACTGTGCCCAGGTGCTGTTTATCAGGGTAAGCTGAGGCATGACCAGGGCCACTGGCGCACCTCAGTTTACCCTAACATCTGCCAAGACCCAGAGGTGAGACCCACCACCTTCCCCTGTGAAACTGCTGCTGGCCCATGTTCCCACTCAGGTCGGGCAAGTCTCCCCCTTTTTCTTGGCTGTTCCTTCCTATCTTCCTTCCCTCTGTCTCTCACCCCCTCACCCAAGATCAGCTGTGTGGTGCCCTTTAAAGCCAGTGCCACACCCCGGACTCGGAGTCCCTGCTGCCACACACTTCTGGAGTGGCCAGTGGCCATCACCCTTGTCCTCAGCATCAGGAAAGAGGTCAAGGTGGTCCCCTCCTCTCACCTGGCCCTGTCTCCCTCAGGTTTCCCCCACCATGTCTTCCTTGGGGCCCACTTCTTCCCCTCTCTGCTGAGTCCCAAATGTCTCCCGCAGCTTCACTTCTACCCTGACCTGAAACCAAAGTAACTTATACGCTCCTGTAATTGGCCTGGCCACTTGAAGGAACTGGACAGTACATCCAAATGGCTGCCTCACCTGATGACACGCTTGTCCCCTCCATTCTCTGAGATTCAGAAGGAAATGGGCTGAGGCCCGGTGTCCAGGTGCTTTCTTGCTCTTGGCCACCCCCCTCTCTCTGCTCCTGTGACCCTGTAGGACTTAGTCGCCAGCTCTCGGCTCCTTCATCTGCGCCCCAAGGGTGAGTCCTCCTTCACTCACCTCTGCACCCTAACTCCCTCCTCCCCCCAGCCTTCCCTCCTCCCACCCCAGCCCAGCTCAGCAACTGTCCCACACCGCTTAAAGCGGCCCCTGGCAGAGGACACTAGCCAGGCTCCCAAGCCACCCTCTCCTGCAACATAACCCCACCCCTGAAAGCCCCTTCAAACAACAGCCCCCTAGCAGTCTAACTTCTGGGCCTGTTCTTGGAACAGCCAGACTGCCTGGCTTAGAGCAGTCCAAGGCCCCATAGTTCATTAGAATTCCCCTGCCTCGTAAAATTTTTAACCAACATTCAAAGCCTGGTCTAAGCCATGACAGCAAGAACCGTCCTTAGTGACCTGTTGTACATGGCACTCCCATGTGGAGGGCCCCCTGAGCAGCTCTCCTTGAAGGAAGAGTGCCTGTCTCCATTTTGGCTGAGCCTGACCCTATTTCCTCGTACTGTTCTGAGAGCTGGCTAGGACTTCTGTTTATCCTTCAGTTGGCCTTGAGCAATGTATATTGGTCTAGCTGAGGTGCTGGTGATAGTCTCTGAAGGTGGCGTGTGCGTTTCCCTGGTAACCTACACCTGCTGCTCCTTAATGTGAGCTGGGTCGAGACAGGACGGTAGAGCTAATGCTCCGCGCCACCAGCTGGGATCGAGCCTCGAGACAAAGGCCATGACTTCCTGGGGCTTGAAAGGCTACACCACAGCTGAAGCACGGGACTTACCAAAACGTTAGATAGTATATAATGTAGATTACTCTCTCTGCATATCCTCTCTGCATATCGCAGAAGTAAATTGAGGCCACCCACCTAGCTCAGCTCATAGTAGTCTCTTTCCCACAGTTCTCAGTCAATCAGTCAATCCTCAAGCCATTCCCCCACTGAATAAAACTGGATGAGGCCCTGGGTTGCTCTCTTGGTTCCAGAAAGCCATCTTCATGGCTGGACTTAGGGGCCCTTGACTCCCCGATGATTGAAGACATAATTTAGTATCTTTGTTTTTGCCATGGGTTGCATTGTAAGCGGTAGATTGGAATCAATTTGATGGGATTCCAATAACGTAACTTTGGGATTACAAATATTGGCTTCTTGGATCGAGACGAGGACCTGGAAGTGTCTCCTACACTCCCAGACTCCCACCAACCTTTGGCATTCTCTTTTGATGCTTTTCCAAACAGCTTGTCCACTCTGCCCGGCCACACTGGAAGCAGTGATGGGAAACTTTGCCTGACTCCCCACCTCCACCTTTTCTTTTATAATAAAAAGGCAGAGGGCTGAAGATATAGCTCAGTCGCACAAGCACCTGCCTGGCAAGCCCAAGGTTCTGAGTTCAATTTCTGGTGCCAAAAAATCAAACCAAACCAAATGAAAAAAGGGGCAGGAATATCAGACCCCTGCCCAGACAGAAAAACTCCCGAGCAGAGCCACTGGCCGCAGCTCCTGAGGCAGAGAGGTGTTCGGGAGCCAGAGCTTGCCAGAGGTCACAGGCGACTGCCCAGGCAGCTGCACCTGCAAGACACAGCGTCTCCAAGACTCCCAGCGCGCCAGACCCGAGAAATCCCCCACTTCTCCCTGCACACCCCTCCTCTCACCCAACACTCCTGCAAGGTCCCCACCCTGTCCTTGGGGCCAGTGGTCTCATCACCCTTGGCCCCCTGCACCCAGGCTGGAATAGGCTTTGCTCACAGCTTCAACTTCGCCCCGGATGTGACTCAATTTACTCCCACAGGTCACAGGATCAGCAGCCCATGCCTGGAATCTCTTCCAGAAAGGTGACACAAAATACCATGAGGCACTAGTTGAAATGCCTCATTTCTTAAAGTTCTAAACTATTCTTTGAAAATGAAAATAATAGCTGTTCTTTCTAGTGGTTTGATAGAAATGGTTTCAGTAGGGTGATTACGTGGATGGGATAGCTTTTTAAAACATGGAAATTTCCAACCAAGAGTATTTTAGGTC